ACTACAACTGTCATACCACATAGTTGCTCAATTAACTTCCTGAACTTCGAGGGCCAGTATTTCACAGGGTTAGCTACTTTGATTTCTTGCAGTCTTGCTACGGCACGAAAAGTGCAAAAACACATAATCGCACCGGCCCGAGTGGTGCGTTTCAGACTGGGTTTATAACTAAACAATGCAAAAACGATATTGATGAGGGGTTGTCTCTGTGTCTGTGTGTCCGTGCGCCTGTATGTCTGTGTGTGCGTCTGTCACGCACTTTCATTTCAAGACCTATAAAAGCAGCGGGGCTGAAATTTCGGGAACTTAATCTACATGCACGTGCCGGCCCCAATCCCCAAAATGGGCGCAACACCCGCGTGGTAACCGCGTACGGGCCCGCCAAAGTTTTTTTGAGGTAAGTTCATAACTCGGGGATCCGAGAAGCTAGAACGCTGAAATCTTAGGGGGATGTTCCCCGTCCAACTAGGTGTTAATGTACTGAAACCCATTCCCCGGGTAAGCGTGGCATCCTCGTACGGGCCCGCCAAAATTTCTTTGGGGTAAGTTTGTAACTCGGGAACCTGAGAAGCTAGAACACTGAAATCTTAAGGTAATGTTCCCCGTCCAACTAGGTATTAATGCACTCAAACCCATCTCCCGGGTAAGCGTGGTACCCGTGCACGGGTCCGTCAAAATTTATTTGAGGTGTGCTCATGACTCGGGGATCTGAAAAGCTAGAACGCTGAAATCTTAGGGGGATGTTCCCCGTCAACTAGGTGTTAATGCACTCAAATCCATCCCTCGGATAGGCGTGGTACCCGCGGGCAGGCCCGCCAAAGTTTCGGGTAATTTCATAACTCGGAGATCTGAGAAGCTAAAACGCTGAAATCCTAGGGCAATGTTCCTCGTTCAAATAGTGTATTGAGTTCAAACCTTGCCCGCTGGTAAGCGTGCCCTTGAAAGTTTCTTCCGGGGAAGTTGCTAACTCGGGAAAGTGAGAAGCTGGAAGACTGGGATTTTGAAGGGATGTTTCCTGACAGTCCTGGCGGCCAGTCTGAAATTCTTTTAGCTAGAAGCATCGCCAGAAAAACCAGTGCCGTTAACGACAAAAATTTGCGGGGAGCTGTGCAAAAAACGCATGTTCGAACGGGCAGCCCGGGCGTTGGCCAATTATTTTTTTTTTGCTTATTACTTGCAATCAAAAAATGATGTTTCTCCACCCCTCAGTCAGTCCCTCTTGTGCCAAATGATGGTACTCCCACTGTTTGTTCCTTCGGTACTGCTAGTGCGCGTGTGTGTACATGTGTGTTCTGAAAACTATTTGTTATTTTCGCCTAGTTGCAGCAATCGAAATCTTTCTCCGCTTGCATACAAGCGCCGCCATTGGTCACGATGCCGGTCGCGTTCCAGGTACCGATCACGATCGCGCTCGCGTTCCTCAAGACGACGACGACGATCCTCTAGTTCAGAGCACCGTTACTCAAGTGACCGCCATAGAAGTGTGTCGTCAAAGGATAGTACACGTTCAAAATCGTCATCATCACGCAGGTGAGCAACAGCAAAAACACTTTCGCTCCAACTTTTTTGTGTAATTGAACCATTCGTGATAAACTAGGCTACGCTGATAAGTTTTATTTGTTGCTTGTTTGTATCTTTCGGAAGTTTGTCATCAGAGCAAACTGAAACGCGCTACCTGCTTCTTTCACGGTTTGTAGTTTTTTCTTCCCTGAAATAAAGAGCCGTATAAATAGCCATGGCATTCAAATATGTCATGTCCGGTAACCGAGCTTGTTGCAAAAGGAAGAAGAAGCAAGTAACAAGGAAGCGAAGTTGGAGCCTCAGTTCCCTTCGCCTTGTCCAGTTATCCTTCGGTTTCCTGTAATATGCAAACGTCCCGTCTTCTGGCTCGAGTTCCCCCTCAGCGATATTTAATCTGATGATTGAAAATGGAATTGTTAGTGTAATTGTTGGTCCTCGCCTTATCTGGAAGCGCGCGGCTGCAGCTTGGAGCTGCTGCCGCTTGTAATTATTTTGTGTGGCCGGTGGCAGCTCGGAGCTGCTGGCGGGCGAATCCCGGGCTAGTTTGTTTTTTTTTTTTTGGTAATTGTTTTTCTTTTGTGCGACTGAGCTCCTAGTTCCAGCTCCTCTTCCGCCCGAACGTTACAGGCTAATTCAGATGTAACCGTAGTTACGAATCGTGTATCTCAAAATTTATAAACCAAATATTTTTGATTTTTTCCTCAACTTCGGTTAAATCTCTGTTGACCTGCTGTGAAACTATGCTGTTTCGACACTAAACTTCTGTCTTGTCTTTTGAATGGCGAGCATTTCAAACAAAGGCGCGTTTTGTCAAGCATTCTGTTTGTATTTTGCTGGTTATTATTTCTCCCAGAACCTCGATTCTACTGTTCTGCAGAGACAACCTCGATTCTACTGTTCGTCAACAGTTTCTGGCTCTGCACTTATTTACCAGGGACCCTAAAGACATTAAGTTTCATAGTTATTCATTTTCCGAGATTTAGTTAAGTTTTGCAACTGTGATCAATTTTTAGTGTCCGAAAAAGTGAGGACAGATTAGATTCGGACTCCGACTCCGAGTCATCACAGACTTCATCGCAGCGGAGCATGTCACATACGTCGTCGCAGCGAAGCACAACAGAAACCAGTGGAGATGGAGCAGTTGCAGATGAAGGAGCAGTTGATGTTGCTAAGGGAACGACTGTGCTAGATGAAAGGGCACCTGATGCCGACACAGGAGCGCTACCTGTAGATGGAGGAACACTTCATGTGCATGAAGGAGCACCTGTTGCGGATGAGGAATTAAATGTTGTGGATAAAGTGATGTAAGTTCTCGCGTCGTTATTTTTGTCGGCGAATTTTTGATGAATGTATTTTAGGATCTTTCGGACTCCAGAAAAATTGGGTTTTTCAAATCACAGTTTTTTTCTGAAATGCAGTAGAATGAATCTTTCGTGATCTCTCTGGGATACCCCTTTTTTACTCCTTTAACTATCGTCTCTCGTAGTTCGTGCTGACTGAATTAGATATCACATTGTGCCTGTTCCACAAGTCTCAGCATGGTTTGAAAGTAATTTTAATATTTTTGATTGATTACTGAGTAAGGTACCTTCTGGTTGTCTAATTCAGGCATGGGCAACCTTTGGCGATACGCAGGCCTGATCTACATATTTACTTAAGCTTGCGGATCACTTTTTGATAAAACCCAGGTAACCACGCAACAGGCTTGCTCGTGTTACCATGCGTTTTTGCGCCAAATTTGACGTAGCCAGATCATTAACAGCATGAATGGTTGGTGCTTTACAGTTTAACACGCGCAACTCATTTGTCTGTGTTTTGGTCTTTTCTTGCATGCGGAGGAAAACAGCGACGGTTGGGGCAGTAGTGTTACGTAATAACTCTCATCGTTGCTGAGTTAAAAATGAGTGAAGAAGTTTCCGAAAAAACGCATACAGACATTCTCAAAATATTGTGCGTTTTTTCCGCATATCGGTGAGTGATGGTTGCGAGCAAATGACCACTGCGGTGATGTCAAATATGCATATCGGTGAGTGATGGTTGCGAGCAAATGACCACTGCGGTGATGTCAAATATACATCGAGCAGGCAATGGGTACTGACTGCAAATTTCCGGCTCAGGGATGGAGGGCCTGACATATCTGCTGTCGGCATTCAGCTGCATGCCAGTAAAACCACTGACATTTAACACTGATTATGCCGGCAATCGTGGTTTTGAAAATAACATTACCTTTTGGTATGATTTTGGTAAAAGTAACTGCGGGAAAATACACCGAGCAAAAGTACAGCTGCATCTGCATGTGAATTTGATAACAGGTGGAAAATGTGACCAGAATGACAACCGTAGCCTAGCGCCTGTAATTTTATTACATTGTTTAGTGCAGTCCAATACATTTTATTTAATTTGGACAATAGCTCTGGCGAATACTGGATGATTGTTGGTTTAGCGCCACATACAGTTTATCAAAAAATTTGTTGGTGTGACTGAAGGGAATAATTATTTTCCAAATGCATTCCCATCATCTTGTCCATGATCCTTTCGTTACACTTAGAGCTGTTCAAAATAATGAGAATGCTTTCGACGAATGGCTGTCCTCATCGATCATTCCAAAAGACATGTGCAAACTGTCTGGGACAGGAAAATTAGTATGAAAAGTAGCAGAAACCTTCCACAGAAGCGTTAGAATTAGTGGTAGGGTAATGGATAGAACTGGAGATGCAATAAACTCATAAATGGAGATTTAAATACTGAATTCTTGGAATCTAAATAGGGAAATGTATCCATACATCCAGATGCTAAAAAAGACTTGAGTGATTGCAGTGCTGGGGCAGTGAAAAAGCACGACACGGCGATGACGCCAACTGTCGGGTCCGATCTGCTCTGCAAACACGATGAAGCTGAGAACGATGAAAAACAAACGGCCGACGTTCTAGTTTTTGCCAGCAGTGTTCATACGAACGGGATCGCTGAAGCAAGTGAGGAAAGCGATACTAATGAGGAAACTGACGATAGCCAAGAGGGGGTGAAGGAAGGAATGGAGAAGGAAGAGAATGAAGTGGAAAGGAATGAGGATGAGAAGGTAAACGAAGAGAAGGATGGAGCACCAGTCCGCGCCAGAAAGGGCATAACAGATGAATTTGTGGATGATATTACTCTTGATTACGATGAGGAGGATGATGCGGCGTGTTACGAATAATACTGGCCAAAAAAAACATCCCGATACTATAATTTGAAGAAATTACCTAAAAAGCATATAACAGTAGTGCAACAGTGATAGTTTGAACATTCATGGTACTATTTCGTAGTGGTCGGCGTGCAGCACAGAAAAAAATGTGGAGAAATGTCAACAGGAATGGTTGGTGTAAAATCAGTATTCTACTGACTTTTGAAAAATATCGAAAAATACGCGCCGTCTTCTCAAAGTGTTTCTAAACATCTATTTTATGTTGTTTTTTTTTACAAAGGCCAGTATTTGCGGACCGCAAAGAAAAGCAAAAATTTTTTTGGTTTGAGCTAAAGCCCGATGTCGCTATCTGCGGATTGTGCTGAAATTTCATTTTTTTTTTTTTTAAGAGTTATGTGCCTTTCTTATCAGAGCTTATTCTAAATCTCAGCTTTTTTTTTTGAATTGTTTTCGCCGCTTATTATTGAAGCAAATTATGCAAATAACCAAACAGTCTGAACACATTCTGCTGTGGTCGTAGACTGAACTCAACCAATCCTCAAACGCCCTTTTTTTGTTTCAATAAATCATTGCTTAACTGTCGGGCCTCGTCATGTATTTTGGTGGAAACCAGAAGTCACATTTGTCATTTAGAATTAGTGAAAAGCTACGCGCACCAAGCAATCGATAGAAATATGTTATGGAAAATGTCTGATACGTACACAGCAAGCAATAATTTTAGACAAGAAATCCAAAGAAGGCAAGCCGAAACAATTGCTGAACAGGCTACTACCCTCATAGCTGCAGCAAGCCGTAAGGCAGCAACTTCCCGTCCTCTTCCGCGCCACGCGCCAATTTTCTAAAATCAGGAAAAAAGTTTTTTTTTTGGGTGAGGCAGTAGCAAAGGCAATAACTCTTGCCGTACCTTCAAGGGGATTACTTCGGCGAAAATTTAAGCCTGGCTGTATCTGCCTCACTCCCATATTACTTTGTTATGACAGTGCAGCAGTTTGTTTTTATTTGAATTGTTTCTGGAAATAAAGTGAGCAATGTATGTTTGCATACTTTCATAATAACAGTTAGTGTTTATGTTATTTATAAACAATTTCACGAATAAAAAGCTCAATTTTGCGGAAGTTTGAGCGATAAAATCGCAAAAAAAAAGGATTTGAGCAATGAAGTGTATAATGAAAGCATATAATAGGTAAAAAATTTGGCAGACCTTATCACTTTAGTAGTGCAGATTCATCCTGACGCGCAAAAGACTTTCAGCAAAAGACATTCCAAAATTTCAGATTTCTAGCTTTTCTGATTCCCAAGTTAGCGATTTTCCCGCTAAAACTTTGAGGCACTCGTACGCGGGGCCTAGACGTGCGTGAGGATTGGTACCGCAGTCCTGGGGTGGCACTTGGCCGGGGAACCCACTCGCAAAATTTGGCGCCTTGCTTGGGTGCCGAGTTGAAATACCCGGGCACACACAAACACTGGGGTCGTCGCAATATGCGTTTTCGCATTTGCATATATGCAAAAACGCAAAAAAACGACGGGGATGAGAGGTATGGCAAGCTGGGATGAACTGCTTGTTGATAATACGCGGTTCCGGCAAGACGGAGGAAAAAAAAGTTTGAGTTGCGGCAAACGCAAAAGGGGGAAACAAAATCCAGTACGTCTTGGCCGATGCTTAGCGTATCATCGGGGACGTTTCTGTAATACCCTCTTTCAAAGCGGGAAGCAGTTAGTACATATGGCAGGCAAGAATTATTATTATTACCACTGCTGAAAGAGTACCGTATGGGGCGAGTCAGCACAACAGATTCTAGGGGTCAATAAAAAAGGGATGGTGCGACAAGCCAGGGAAACCAGCTGGACTGTGAACAGCATTAGCGGATCCAGGGGAGGAGGAGAGGGATGAGGGACTCTTCTTTCCCCCTACGGGCTCAGGTAATAGCTGTTTTACTGTACGAAAGTGTGTTCGGTATTGCCTGTCCCCCTCTCCTCCCACCCAACCCTGCCACTTTCAGTTTAGTGTCCTTAAGTAAGAGGGGG